GTAGAGGTGGGGTGAGTGGTAGTGTAGAGGTGGGGTGAGTGGTAGTGTAGAGGTGGGGTGATGGTAGTGTAGAGGTGGGTGAGTGGTAGTGTAGAGGTGGGTGAGTGGTAGTGTAGAGGTGGGTGAGTGGTAGTGTAGAGGTGTGTGAGTGTTTCTATAGGATGCAGTTTGTCAAGGTATTGTTAGGGGTGGTAGGTAAAGGAAGAGAGGAGAATGGCGGTAGGGGATGGTGAGGGGAGGGGTGCCAGGCCTCTTCCCCTCTCACGCTCCTCCTCTTCTCCCTCTGAGCCTCCTCTCACCTTCCCACAACACACATCCTTCCCAGTGTCTACAGTAGATGTCGGTGCAATCCAGACCAACATCCTCTAACCAAACCAGCGGAGGGTGGAGAGGGAAGGGGAGAGGGGTGGAGGGAAGGGGAGAGGTGGAGGGAAGGGGAGGGGTTGGAGGGAAGGGAGGGGGTGGGGGGTAGGGGAGGGGGTGGAGGGATGGGAGGGGTGGAGGGTAGGGGAGGGGGTGGAGGGGGGGAGGGAGGGGGGGGTGGAGGGAAGGGGAGAGGGTGGAGGAAGGGAGGGGTTGGAGGGTAGGGGAGGGGGTGGAGGGAAGGGGAGGTGGAGGGAAGGGGGTGGAGGGAGAGAGGGGTGGAGGGAAGGAGGGGTGGAGGAAGGGAGGGGGGTGGAGGGTAGAGGGGTGGAGGGAAGGAGGGAGGGGGTGGAGGGAAGGGGAGAGGGGGGGGTGGAGGGAAGGGGAGAGAGGGGTGGGAGGGTAGGGGAGGGGTGGACGGTAGGGGAGGAGGTGGACGGTAGGGGAGGGTGAGGATACCCTCTCTCCACACATCCCCCCACACACTCTCCCCCACCTCTCACTCCCCACTCCTCAAACAATGCACCAAAGGTTTGAAAATCTCTTGCCTGGTAATGACAGGTTGTCCATAATACAGTAGTGCTAAGTGGCTACTCATTAGTTACGGTCAGAATAAGAATGCAGTGTACTCTGCCAACGTCATACAGGAACGGAAGAAATGATTGGTTAGCCACCGATTGACTTCAGAAAATGCTATAGGTGTGTGTGTGTGTGTGTGTGTGTGTGTGTGTGTGTGTGTGTGTGTGTGTGTGTGTGTGTGTGTGTGTGTGCGTGTGTGTTTCTTGTCTCTTTCACACTTCCCCACACCACCTCACACTTCACACTCCCACCACCACTCCACAGTATCATACAGGTTGGCTACACAGAGGCCTACTGTTTGGCCTGGTATTGGCAGGTGTCTCCAGGTAAACACGCCAGGTAAGAGGGCAGGAGTAGGCCAGCAGGTGGACGAGTCATATACTGTATAGAGACTGGCTTGGTGGTGACGTGTGTGTAGGCCTATGGCTTGGTGGTGACGTGTGTGTGTGTGTAGGTCTATTTGTATCAGTAGGGGTGGAGGGGGGTTATATGGTAGCTTGTCTTCTTTCTCCCTTTCCACCTCATCTGTTTGTGAGAGGAGGCCTTTGTCTGGACTGTAAGACATCAGTATAGGTAAAATGGTTGAATGGGTCTGTGTTTGTTTTGTGTCGCTGGTGTCAGTATTTTTCTCCCACTTTTACTCAGTTTTCTTTCAGTATGGATTTTATTTATTATTATTTATGTGATTTTTTACTTCCGGGGATTAGCCCACCCAGGCATAGGTTACTGACCCACATCGGTGCCTGGGGGGCGAAAATGTAATAATAATAATAATAATAAAGAACCGTAAAGAAATATAAAAATGCTAAAATGATCAGTAGTGAGAAACAATATATATCCCTGTGTTGTGTTGTAAGAGAAACAATTGAGACCTTGAGTGTAAATGAGGCAGAAAGTCAGATCATCAACCTGGGACTTGGTCACATATGGCAGCAGGGTCCACCATTAGACAACACATTATGCTTCCAATATCTTCCTAGTACCTCCCTGTTTGGTAGATGTTTATTCTAAAGTTGATTTTATCCTCCTCTCTGCGTTTTTCAGTTCGTTTCTTCACTATTTCCTTATTATTATTCATTTTGTTTCGTCAATATTAATGTCTCAATGAACAACAGAATTATACCAGAAATACCAATGGGCCAAGTTGAGGGTAGGAGGGCCAGGGGAAGACAGGGGTAGGAGTGCCAGGGGTAGGACAGGGGTAGGAGGGCAGGGGAAAGACGGGGGTAGGAGGGCCAGGGGAAAGACAGGGGTAGGGAGGGGCTAGGGGGAAGACAGGGGTAGGAGGGCCAGGGGAAAGACAGGGTAGGAGGGCCAGGGGAAGACAGGGGGGAGGGGCTGGGGGAAAGACGGGGGGTAGGAGGGCCAGGGGAAAGAACAGGGGTAGGGAGGCCAGGGAAAGACAGGGGTAGGAGGGCAGGGGGAAAGACAGGGTAGGGGAGGCCAGGGGAAAGACGGGGGTAGGGGAGGGCCAGGGAAAGACAGGGGTAGGAGGGCCGTGGGAAGACAGGGGTAGGGAGTGCCAGGGGGAAGACAGGGGTAGGAGGGCCAGGGGAAAGACAGGGGTAGGAGGGCCAGAGGAAGACAGGGGTAGGGAGGCCAGTGGGAAGACAGGGGTAGAGGGCCAGAGGGAAGACAGGGGTAGGAGGGCCAGGGGGAAAGACAGGGTAGGAGTGCCAGGGGAAGACAGGGGTGGGAGGGCCAGGGGAAAGAGCAGGGGTGGGAGGGCCAGAGGAAGACAGGGGTAGGGAGGGCCAGTGGGAAGACAGGGTAGGGAGTGCAGGGGGAAAGACAGGGGTAGGAGGGCCAGGGGAAAGACAGGGTAGGAGGGGCTAGGGGAAGACAGGGGTGGGGGAGGGCCAGGGGAAGACAGGGGTGGGAGGGCAGGGGAAGACAGGGTGGGAGTGCCAGTGGGAAAGACAGGGTAGGGAGGGCCAGAGGGGAAGACAGGGGTAGAGGGCCAGGGGAAAGACAGGGGGAGGGGGCCAGGGGAAAGACAGGGGTGGGAGTGCTAGGGAAAGACAGGGGTAGAGGGCCAGAGGGGAAGACAGGGTAGGGAGTGCTAGGGGAAAGACAGGGGTAGGGGAGGGCCAGAGGGAAGACAGGGGTAGGGAGTGCCAGGGGGAAGACAGGGGTGGGGGAGGGCCAGAGGGAAGACAGGGGTAGGGAGGGCCAGAGGGAAGACAGGGGTAGGAGGGGCCAGGGAAGACAGGGGTAGAGGCCAGGGGAAAGACGTGGGGGTAGGAGGCCAGAGGGGAAGACAGGGTGAGGGCCAGAGGGAAGACAGGGGTAGAGGGCCAGAGGGAAGACAGGGGTAGAGGCCAGGGGGAAAGACGGGGTAGAGGCCAGAGGGAAGACAGGGGTAGGGAGGGCCAGAGGGGAAGACAGGGGTAGGGAGGCAGGGGAAGACAGGGGTAGGGAGGGCCAGGGGAAAGACGGGGGTAGGAGGCCAGAGGGAAGACAGGGGTAGGGAGGGCCAGAGGGAAGACAGGGGGCAGGGGAGGGCAGAGGGAAGACAGGGGTAGGGGAGGCCAGGGAAAGACGGGGTAGGGAGGCCAGAGGGAAGACAGAGATGGAGGGGAAGACAGGGTAGGGAGGGCCAGGGGGAAGACAGGGGTAGGGGAGGGGCAGAGGGAAGACAGGGTAGGGAGGGCCAGAGGGAAGACAGGGGTAGGGAGGGCCGTGGGAAGACAGGGGTAGGGAGGGCTAGGGGAAAGACAGGGGTAGGAGGAGGCTGTGTGAGGACAGGGTAGGAGGGCCAGGGGGAAAGACAGGGGTAGGGAGGTCAGGGGAAAGACAGGGGTGGGAGGGGACAGAGGGAAGACAGGGTAGGGAGGGCCAGAGGGAAGACAGGGGTAGGGAGGGCCAGAGGAAGACAGGGGTAGGGAGGACAGTGGGGAAGACAGGGGTAGGGGAGGCTAGGGGAAAGACAGGGGTAGGAGGGCAGAGGGGAAGACAGGGGTAGGGAGGGCCAGAGGGGAAGACAGAGGTAGGGGAGGGCCAGAGGGGAAGACAGGGGTAGGGGAGGGCCAGTGGGAAGACAGGGGTAGGAGGGCCAGGGGAAGACAGGGGTAGGGAGGCCAGGGGAAGACAGGGGTGGGAGGGCCAGGAGGGAAGACAGGGGTAGGGAGGCTGAGGGAAGACAGGGGTAGGGAGGGCCAGTGGGGAAGACAGGGGTAGGGAGGGCCAGGGGGAAGACAGGGGGAGGAATCAGGAGGGAAGACAGGGGTAGGGAGGACAGTGGGAAGACAGGGGGAGGGCCAGGGGAGACAGGGGTAGGGAGGGCCAGAGGGAAGACAGGGGTAGGAGGGCCAGTGGGAAGACAGGGGTAGGAGGCCAGGGGAAAGACAGGTAGGAGGGCTAGAAAGACAGGGTGGGGAGGGCCAGAGGAAAGACAGGGGTAGGGAGGGAACAGAGGGAAGACGGGGTGGGAGTGCCAGGGGGAGACAGGGGTAGGAGGGCCAGAGGGAAGACAGGGGTAGGAGGGCCAGGGGAAAGACAGGGGTAGAGGGCCAGAGGGGAAGACAGGGGTAGGGAGGGCCAGGGGGGAAGACAGGGGTAGGGGAGGGCCAGAGGGGAAGACAGGGGGTAGGAGGGGCCAGGGGAAGACAGGGGTAGGGAGGGTTCAGAGGGAAACACAGGGGTAGGGGAGGGCTAGGGGAAGACAGGGGCAGGGAGGGCCAGGGGAAGACAGGGGGGAGGCCAGGGGAAGACAGGGGTAGGAGGGGCTAGGGGAAAGACAGGGGTGGGGGAGGGGGCAGAGGGAAGACAGGGGTAGAGGCTGGGGGAAAGACAGGGGTGGGGGAGGCCAGAGGGGAAGACACAGGGGGAGAGGCAGAGGGGAAGACAGGGTGGGGAGGCCAGAGGGAAGACAGGGGTAGGGAGGGGCCAGGGGGAAGACGGGGGTAGGGAGGGCCAGGGGAAAGACAGGGGTGGGAGGGCCAGGGAAGACAGGGTAGGGAGGGCCAGAGGAAGACAGGGGTAGGAGGGCCAGAGGGGAAGACAGGGGAGGGGGAGGGCCAGAGGGAAGACAGGGGTAGAGGGCAGTGGGAAGACAGGGGTAGGAGGCCAGGGGAAAGACAGGGGAGGGCCAGGGGAAGACAGGGTAGGAGGCCAGGGGAAGACAGGGGTAGGGGAGGCCAGAGGGAAGACAGGGGTGGGGAGGGCCAGGGGAAGACAGGGAGGGGCCAGTGGGGAAGACAGGGGTAGGGGAGGCCAGGGGAAAGACAGGGGTAGAGGGCCAGGGGGAAGACAGGGGTAGGGAGGGCCAGAGGGAAGACAGGGGTGGGAGGGCCAGAGGGAAGACAGGGGTAGAGGCCAGAGGGAAGACAGGGGTAGGGAGGGCCAGAGGGAAGACAGGGGTAGAGGCCAGGGGAAAGACAGGGGTAGAGGGCTTGGGGAGGAAGACAGGGGTAGGGAGGGCCAGGGGAAGACAGGGGTAGGGAGGCCAGGAGGGAAGACAGGGGGGGAGGGCCAGGGGAAGACAGGTGGGGAGGGCCAGGGGGAAGACAGGGGTAGGGAGGGCCAGGGGAAAGACAGGGGTAGGGGAGGGGCTAGGGGAAGACAGGGGTAGGAGGCCAGGGGGAAGACAGGGGTAGGGGAGGGCCAGGGGGAAGACAGGGGTAGGAGGGGCCAGGGGGAAGACAGGGGTAGGGAGGGCCAGGGGGAAGACAGGGGTAGGGAGGGAGGGGAGACACAGGGGTAGGGGAGGGCCAGGGAAGACAGGGGTAGGGGAGGGCCAGGGGAAGACAGGGGTGGGAGGGCTAGGGGAAAGACAGGGGTAGGAGGGCCAGTGGGAAGAGGGCAGGGGAGGCTGGGGAAAGACAGGGTAGGGAGGCCAGGGGGAAGACAGGGGTAGGAGGGCCAGGGGAAGACAGGGGTGGGAGGGGCAGGGGAAGACAGGGGTGGGAGGGCCAGGGGAAGACAGGGGTGGAGGGCCAGAGGGAAGACAGGGGTGGGAGGCCAGGGGGAAGACAGGGTAGGAGGGCCAGGGAAAGACGGGGGGTAGGGGAGGCCAGGGGAAGACAGGGGTAGGGGAGGGCCAGGGGGAAGACAGGGGTAGGGAGGGCCAGGGGGAAGACAGAGGTAGGAGGGCAGGGGGGAAGACAGGGGTGGGAGGGCTAGTGGGAAGACAGGGGTAGGGACAGAGGGAAGACAGGGGTAGGGAGGGAGGAAGACAGGGGTAGGGAGGGCCAGAGGGAAGGCAGGGGTGGGGAGGCCAGGGAAGACAGGGTGGGAGGTGAGGGGAAGACAGGGGTGGGAGGGCCAGGGGGAAGACGGGGGTAGGGAGGGCAGTGGGGAAGACAGGGGTGGGAGGGCCAGGGGAAGACAGGGGTGGGGAGGCTAGGGAAGACAGGGGTGGGAGGGGTAGGGGAAGACAGAGGTGGAGGCCAGAGGGAAGACAGGGGTAGGGAGGGCCAGAGGGAAGACAGGGGTAGAGGCCAGGGGAAGACGGGGGGTAGAGGGCCAGTGGGAAGACAGGGGTAGGAGGGCCAGAGGAAGACAGGGGTAGAGGGCCAGGGGAAGACAGGGGAGGGGCCAGGGGAAGACAGGGGTAGGAGGGCCAGAGGGGAAGACAGGGGTAGGAGGGGCCAGGGGGGAAGACAGGGGGGAGGCCAGGGGAAGACAGGGGTAGGAGGGCCAGGGGAAAGACAGGGGTAGGGAGGGCCAGAGGGAAGACAGGGGTAGGGAGGCCAGGGGAAGACAGGGGTGGGAGGCCAGGGGGAAGACAGGGTGGGGAGGGCTAGGGGAAAGACAGGGGGTAGGGAGGGCCAGGGGAAAGACAGGGGTAGGGAGGGCTGGGGAAACAGAGGTAGGGAGGGCCAGAGGGAAAAGACAGGGGTAGGGGAGGGCCAGGGGAAGACAGGGGTAGGGAGGGCAGAGGGAAGACAGGGGTAGGAGGCCAGGGGAAAGACAGGGTAGGAGGGCCAGGGGAAAGACTGGGTGGGGGAGGGCCAGGGAGACAGGGGTAGGAGGGCCAGGGGAAAGACAGGGGTAGGAGGGCCATGGGGGAAGACAGGGGTAGGAGGCCAGTGGAAGACAGGGTAGAGGGACAGGGGAAGACAGGGGTGGGAGGGTCAGGGGGGGGGTGTGGGAAGACAGGGGTGGGAGGCCAGGGGGAAGACAGGTGGGGAGGGACAGGGGAAAGACTGGGTAGGGAGGGCCAGGGGGAAAGACAGGGTAGAGGGCCAGGGGAAAGACAGGGGTAGGAGGGCCAGGGGGAAGACAGGGGAGGGCCAGGGGGGACAGGGGTAGGGGAGGGCCAGGGGAAAGACAGGGGTGGGGGAGGTCCAGGGAAGACAGGGGTAGGAGGCCAGGGGGGAAGACAGGGGTAGGAGTGCCAGGGAAAGACAGGGGTTGGGAGGGGCCAGGGGAAGACAGGGTAGGGAGGGCAGGGGAAGACAGGGGTGGGAGGGGCCAGGGGAAGACAGGGGATAGGAGTGCCAGGGAGAGACAGGGGTAGAGGCAGAGGGAAGACAGGGGTAGGGGAGGGCCAGGGGAAGACAGGGGTAGGAGGGCCAGGGAAGACAGGGGTGGGAGTGCCAGGGAAAGAGACAGGGGTAGGAGGGCCAGAGGGAAGACAGGGGTAGGAGGGCCAGGGGGAAGACGGGGAGGGTGGGCCAGAGGGGAGGACAGGGGTAGAGGGGACAGGGGAAGACAGGGGTAGGAGGGCCAGAGGGGAAGACAGGGGTAGGAGGGGCAGGGGAAGACAGGGGTTGGGGAGGGCTGGGGGGAAGACAGGGGTGGGAGGGCGGGGGAAAGACAGGGGTGGAGGTCAGAGGGAGGACAGGGGGTAGGGAGGTCAGAGGGAAGACAGGGGTAGGAGGGCCAGAGGGAAGACAGGGGTAGAGCAGGGGAAAGACAGGGGTAGGAGGCCAGAGGGAAGACAGGGGTGGGAGGCCAGAGGGAAGACAGTGGTGGGGAGGGGCAGTGGGAAGACAGGGTTGGGAGGGTCAGGGAAGACAGGGGTAGGGAGGTCCAGGGGAAGACAGGGTAGGGGAGGGCCAGGGGAAGACGGGGGGGAGGGAGGGCCAGGGGAAGTCAGGGGTAGGAGGGCCAGAGGAGTCAGAGGAGGGTAGGGGAGTGGGATAGACTGGGGGGGGTGGGGTTGGGAGGGCCCAGGGGGGTGGGGTGTGGGAGGGCCAGGAGGGTGGGGTGGGAGGTCAAGGGGAGGTGGGGGTGGGAGGGCAGGGTGGGGTTAGGGGTGGGTCAGAGGGGGGTGGGGTGGGAGGGTCAGGGGAGGTTGGGGTGGAGGTCAGGGGTGTGTAGGGGTGGGAGGATGGGGGAGGGGTGGGAGTTGGGGGTGGGAGTGGGAGACCCAGGGGGTGGGGTGGGAGGGCCAGGGGGGTGGGGTGGGAGGTCAGAGGGGTGGGGAGTGGAGGTCAGAGGGGGGTGGGGGTGGGGGCCAGGGGGGGTAGGGGGTGGGAGGGCCAGGGGAGGGTAGGAGTGGAGGGCCAGGGGAGGGTGTGGGGAGTGGGAGGGCCAGGGGAGGGGGTGGGGTAGGGAGGTCAGGGGAGGTGGTGGGGTGGGAGGGTCAGGGGGAGGGTTTGGTGGGATGGTGGGGAGGAGTGGGGTGGGAGGTCAGGGGTGGGTGGGGTGGGGTGGGGTGGGGGGGGTGAGGGTGGGTGCTGGGTGGGGTGGGGTTGGAGGGTAGGGGGGGTGAGGAATTGGGAGGTCAGGGAGGAGTAGGGGTGGGAGGGTCAGAGGAGGGTAGGGGTGGGAGGGTCAGGGGGAGGGGTGGGGGTTGGGGGGTATTGTGGGAGGGTCAGGAGGAGGGAGTGGGGTGAGGGGTCAGGGAGATGGGGTGGGGAGGGTGGGGGGGGAGTGGTGGGAGGTCAGGGAGGGTGGGGGTGGGAGTGTTGCAGGGGAGGGTAGGGGGTGGGGGTGTGGAGGGTGGGGGTGGGGGTTCTGGGAGGGTGGGGTTGGAGGTGGAGGAGGTGGTTGGGATTGGGAGGTGGGAGTGGGAGGTCAGAGGAGGTGCAGGTTGGGAGGTCAGAGGAGGTGGGGTGGGAGTGTGGGGGAGGTGGGGTGGGAGGGCCTTGGGGAGGTTGGGGTGGGAGGTCAGAGTGGGGTGGGAGTGGGGGGGGGGGGTGGGTGGGGGGTGGGGGGGTGGGGTGGGGGGGGGGGGGTGGGGGTGGGTGGGGGGTGGGGGTGGGGGGGGGGGTGGGGGTGGGGGGTGGGGGGGGGGGGGGGGGGGGGTGGGGGTGGGGGGTGGATGGGGGTGGGGTGGGGGTGGGGTGGGGTGGGAGACTGGGGGGGTGGGGTGGGACCAGGGGTTGGGGTGGGGGGGAGGGTGGGGTCAGGGGAGGGATGGGGTGGGAGGCTGGGGGTGGGGGTGGGGGGTCAGGGAGGATGGGGTGGGGGTGGGGGGGTGGGGTGGGGGGGGGGGGGTGGAGTGGGGGGTCGAGGAGAGGGTGGGGTGGGGGATTGGGTGGGGGGTGGGGGGGGTGGGAGGGTTGGGGGGTGGGGTGGGGGTCAGAGGGTGGGGTGGGATGTAGGGGATGGGGTGGAGGTCAGGGAGGCAGTTGTGTGGATGGATGTCAAGCTAAGTTGTGGATTTTGGGGACGTGTGGTGAGAGATGTTAGGTCTTAACAAGCCTATCATATATATGGGCTCCTACTTCTCCTACCCTACTCCTACCACTACTACCACAACTCCTGCCACTACTCCCCACCACTACTCCTACCACTACTCCTACTCCTGCTACTCTCGACTACTCCTACGACTTCTCTACCATTCCCTCATTATTACTATCATCTGATATAACAATAAACAATGTGTATGGCGTTCCTCAAGTTCATTCTCGTTAGTACTGTTCTTGTTGTGCATGTGCTATCGTCACTCCAACACACTCGTAAAAGCATTTTATTTGCAGATGATAGTAATCTCTATGCCAGCAACTCAGACCTCCATTCCTTGATGAAAACTATGAACAATGAATTGATTGAAGTCAGGACTCTAGGTAATACGTAATAAACTGACCTTAAATAGAAAAACCACTACGGTCTTTCACAGAGGAAACTTACCTCCAGACCTGAACCCCTGTGCCTTAGTAATACAGTTCTTAAATGTGAACAAATACCAATTCCCAGAGTTATGTTGATGATAAACTAAACTGGAGAAACCACATACAAGCCATTCACAGTAAAGTCAATAAACAGTGCTGTATCATGTATCCACTCGACAGTTACTCCTCATGCAGAAATGAAAAGAAATCTATTATGATCTTGTTTACCAACACCTGACACACTTGCCACACTAACTGGAGTCTCGGTTCCATTAAACACAACTCCTGGTCACTGCCCAGAAGAGAGTTGTACGGACATAACCTACTTGGAAAAAAATCAACAAACGAAGAGTTTGTGTGATTGATAAATAAGTTTGAGGATTATAATACTTACTGCTGTACCCATTTGTTTATAAATCAGTTCATTTTATTGAGAATAATTATTCCCAATTCCGGAATAACTGGAGTTTTAGAGTTATCAAGAGCACCAGACCTCAGTCCCCGGACCTCAATAAGATATCATGATTGTGAATGTACCACCACCATCTTTCATACACACCACACACACCTACCACCATCACTATCACCACACCATCTCACCACACCACACCACCACACACACACACCACACCATCCTACACCACCACCACACCATCACACTACACACCACACAACACCACTACACACCACACACCACCATCACCACTACACACCACACACACACACACACACACACACCACCACACATCCACCCACACACACACTACACAATACACCACACACACACACACACACACACTACACCACCACCCACCTACACACCACACCGACCTATATCCACCACCACTACACCACACTACACCACCACTAGCAGGTCTCAAACACTAATGCTGGGCTCCCCAGCCACCCTGGCCGCCCTCCC